CACTGTCTTTTGTTTGGAGTAAATACTTTTGGTCTGAAGTGAAAAGTGTGACTCTTTTGGCAGTTCTATTATGTGTGTGTCTGCAGTGTAGTTGGGTTTGTTAATAGTTATATAATAGTTAATTTTGCACCCTTAGATGAATTATTTTACAGCAGTAATTGAGGTGTTTTAGTTACATAATGTAACAGGTGCTGAAACTTAAACTTAGTGACATGAAGATAGATTCACGTGACAAAAAGGAGTTCTTTTTCTTTATTTAACTCTGCTACTTAAAGAAAGTGAAAACATTACACCAACCAGTCACACTGCTTTATCCACCACTTCTCCATACGTCCAGTAGAGGGAGCTGTATCGTCACTTTTGACAAAAGACTTTCAGACGCGTTTCCATCACGGTGAGGCCTTTAACACCTCTGTCTGCTGCTGCTGCTCACAGAGTCACAGATTTTACCTTGATGTCAAAACACATTCACTTTGATCATCAATAGATAAAGTGGATGTTGTTTTGATTCGGTCTATTTCTGTTGCTGCTTTTATCCTGTGTGGACACAGCGATGCTGGTCAAAAATGCTCAACGATACAGGGGGTTTCAGCAATCCGGCTGCACACCCATTGGGGGTCCATGAGTGTTGTCATGGTAACATGCAGTGTGGTTGGCATGAGGCCCTAAAGCCTCACCTCCTTAGATTTATTTCTCAATAACTTCTCCTTTTTATTTTGACTGATTTGACTTTGTGGGATGTTTTTGTTTATTTGTATAATCACCTGACTATTTTTATTTTTATTTTCTGTCCACAGATGGAGCAGGTGTCAGACGATGAGTTGGACCATGGAGCGGAGGAGGACAGTGATAAGGAGGACCAGGATTTGGACAAGATGTTTGGTGCCTGGTTGGGGGAGCTGGACAAGCTTACGCAGGTTAACATGCACGGACACACACACACACACACACACACACATATTGATGATAATAATGGTGGCGATTTGCCATAATATGGGATCAAACAGGTAGCGGATCATGGAGAATAGATAGAGCTGTTACCATAGCAACCCCAACACTGATACTCATTCTGTCTCCAGTTATTGTATCCTAGCAACACCCTTCCCACCAGTTCAGAGCGAGTGTCTAAGTGAGCGAGTGAATGTGTGTGCGTGCGTGCCTTGTGCGTACTTCTCAACGCCGCGGATCCTGCCTTCATAACTTTTTATATTTCTGAATTTCTTCTTCTTATCTTTTTTCCTCCTTTTATCTCTTCCTTCCATTTATTTGGTGGCCTGAGTAAATTAGTATTCCTCATTGTGCCCTTTATTAGTTTTAAGATTTATCATATTTTGTGAGATGAACTTGTTGCTGCATATATTCAGTGGTTGGACTGTAGTGCGTTGACGATGTGCATGTGTTCACCAACTGTTTCCTGTGTGTTTGTTCCTCTGCAGAGTCTGGATGATGGCAGGCCACAGAAAGCACTGCAGAAGCCTCCTCTCAGACAAGAGACAAACATGGCCAACTTTTCCTACAGATTCTCTATGTACAACATTAACGGTGAGGCTTGACTTTGAGCTAATCTGAAGACAATTTGTTCTACCTCCTGCTCTCTGCTCATAATTCTGTTTCCTTCATACTTTACTCTGTGCAGAGGCCTTGAACCAGGGAGAGACAGTTGACCTGGACGCCCTCATGGCGGACCTCTGCTCCATTGAGCAGGAGCTCAGTACAATTTCCAGACCAAATTCCACATCTCGGGGACAGAGCAAAGGCCAACAGAGGGCGCCTGGACGCAGTGCAAGCACGAAGCACACAGGCACCGGTGGAGGAGGGAGCAGCGGAGGTAGTTTTGCTGCGTTAATAATTCTGCTTCTACACAATCTCTGAAGTAATTCGACTGGAATTGAAATGTTTTGCAATTTTTTGTTGAAAATTCATCACCATCAAAGACTATATGATTTTTTTTCCTGCCTTTAGGAGTTATTCACAACAATTTATCCTGATTTATGAAAGACTCTGGCGTTGATTTTTTTTTTTTTTTCACTACTAGGAAGCACGAGTAGCAGCACCCGAGCCTCCCCTGCCAACACAGTAAGAGGCAACAGCCGCCCCGCAGCCTCAAACATCTCCCTGGACGACATCACCTCTCAGCTGGAGAAGGCGTCCTTGAGCATGGACGAGGCTGCTCGGCAAACCTCCTCATCTTCCTCCTCGTCTTCATCCTCTTCATTCTCGTCCACCACGCTCCGCCGGCCCTCATCGGGGTCCTCTGGCGGTGGGCAACACCGCAGGACGGGCTCTATGGGGGGCGTCAGTGAGCAGGAGGCGCCGTCACAGCGGTCTAGTGTCAACTCAGCATGTGCCTCCGCCTCCAGTATGGACTCACTGGACATTGACAAAGTAATGACGGCATCAGAGGTGGAGAGTCGCAGCAGCTCCAGCTCACAAGGACAAAACCAGACGAGCACTGAGGTACGAGACGCACGGACAATGACACACACACAGCAGGTGCTGCAGGCAACAGTGTTATTTAGCAGACAGTGTCTTGACTGTGGTTCAGCTCATGTCCTGCATGTTTGATCACACGTGATGTTTGGAAAGAACCAGCATGCCTGAATGAAACTGGAGCTTCGTTCACATTTATTCATCTGTATTTGGAAAACAGCATGAATTCTGCTCCACGTTTGCCTAATACACTAACATTGTGTTTTCAAACCTCAGGAAATGGGGTTTGAAATGTTGTTTGTTTTTTGATGAGGTCACAGTCTGTTGGATGAAGTTGATAATAATAAGGCTACATCACCTGAAGCATGTGTCCTGACGCACCTTGCATGTTTTCATGATGTCCATGTTTTTTCATCTTTTTTCTTTTGTTTCTATCACACACACACACACACACACACACAAACACACACACTGCTCCCATCTTTGCTTGCACATCCTGGCTTTCTCAGCATGTCACACTGCGGAGGGCCAATAGTAATCCAGTCAGACGTCAGCTTGACTTCACCTCCCAGGAGGGCGGTGTGGACCGGGCCACTGTAAGTGTGTGAGTTTGCACGTGTGCATGTTAGTGCATGACATAACTCCTTCAGTGTGTTTGTGTGTATGATTGATCAGGGGATAATAGTGTTACGTCTTCCTCTAAACCTTTCCTTTTTAATTTATTTAATTATCGATGACATTGATGAAGATGGCGGTGTTTTGGGTTTTTAAACAGGTGTTTGAGTGAGATACCCACACATTGTGAGAACAGCCATTAATATCACTGACCATAAAAACATTTCACTGATTTCTGTCGGTGCCAACAGTGTGTTCCTCTCCCGTTTAAGCAGGTTTAAAAATCTAAACTACTGATTTAATGTGTAAACATACATTTTGAATTTAATTTAGCACAGTGGTTCCCAAATTGTGAGTCAACCCCATGGCTATTGCAGGGGGTCGGAGGAATGCAAATTTAATGTTTAATGTGTTCCCTTTATTCATTGGGAAGAGCAGTGTTGTGTTTGACATAGAAGTTATTGGATTTTGAAGCGATCGCTGTAACTTTGGGGGAGAGGGGAGTCTTCAATGATCTTATCGACTAAAAGGTGGGTAGAAAAAGTTTGGGAACCACTGATTTAGCCAACATGAGTCCAGCATTTGATTAATGCCTAATTGTGTAGATGTTTGTAGTAGACTATAGTACTGTAGTATTGCCCTGTAGCCCAGAGCAGTATCCATAATGGATATGGTATTATTTCAGAGTGAGTGTATGCTTTATTGTGTATCATTTTTGTTAGTGTCACAATCATGGCCTGTGTTCCACAGCAGCAGCTAATGACAGACACGGCTGCTCAGCTCTTCATTAATGGAATCGTCTCTCACTTCACTGCTTTTACACAAAAAAATCATCTGATTACCTTGCATTATTAATCTGCCTTAAAGTTGTTTATCATTAATCTTCTTCCTTTATTTTTCCTCTGCTCCTCCTCCTCTCCTTCTTTATTTTCTCCTCTCTTCCTCACCCCAGCACTCCTATTTGGACCAAGAAACCTCACTCATTCTGAAAAGCATAGCAGGAAAACCTTCTCACCTCCTGACCAAGGTGACCTACTCACACACTGGCTCCTTTGTTTACTTTTGTTTTCTGTTTGTGAGTGAACACTGCTCATCTTCACTGCTTTGCATGTCTGAAAAAACCCACCTGCTGCTCACAGTTAATTGTGTTTTTAAAATAGAGGTCAAAGGTTATTAAATCATCTGTGGGAGATGACAAAAGTCAACCTGCTGATGAGTTTAGCTCTGAACAGACAGGAGTGAGATGGATGAGACAAAATAACATTTAAAAATCACAATTTTTATTTTATTATTTTGCTAAAATTAAAAGAAGACCAGAGACAATGGTAATTGAACCAGTACTGAAGTAGATGTCAAATAAATATATTTATAGGTCAAAAATCTGCATGCATCTTAGAAGAAGCTGTTCTTTGTGAACAGTGTGACTGTTTTAAACCTTGGATTGTTGATAACTTAGTAAGGTGTAGAAATGAAAGAGGCTACAGGAGGGGCAGGGGGAGAGGGAGGAAGTGAATGTGTCTCATGTACTTGTACATGTATTTCTACATCAACACTGTGACCCAGATTGACTCTGGGATTAAATCTTAGTGACCCCCTCGTGACCTAAGTATACAAACACACACTCGTACACACTCACACTGGGTCGGCAAAAAGCCCTGCCACTAACAGGACCGTGTGTGTGTGTTTCTGTGTGTGTGTTGTCACTGAACTGAAGCTCCAGGGGTCCAGGCTCAGTCACAGTTCTGTTTCTCCTTCTGACTGGTGTTCAGAGGACAGGCTGTTGTCAAGAGTGGCTCACTGATTGGCTGATCCCCGTCGTCTGCTGTTTTTCTATGGGATTATGCTTTTGCTTGATTGTTCACACTTCCAAACCTCTACATCTCCTTAGGAGAGAATTAGACAGAGGAAAAAGAGGGGGTGAGGGTGATGGAGAGGGAGGGATGAGTGAGGGGCGGGGCATCTTCTGTCTGACTCTGCTTGTAGTGGAGTTGTGATCATCTGAGATGCACACGCCAGAACGTGTTAGTGATCCTCCACCTTCACCGAGCTCAGGGTTTGTAGTTGACTGCAGTAGGACATGCTGTAGGTTTCTGAGGAATTCTATGGAAAAACTTCAGCAGCATCTTGTTTTTTTGATGCTTTCTTATTCATTTATAAAAAGTGGAGAGAAGTTTTGATGCTTCGCAGGGTTTTTTTCCGCCTTTCCATTTTTGCCACGTTCTTGTTATCAACACCCAAGCTCTTCCTCCGTCTCTGAAGCTTCAGGGATCTTCAGCCATCGTTCCCTCCTTTGCTCTGAAGTGAGATCAAAGGGAAACTGCAGCAGCTCCACATAATTTTGAATATGGAAGCATAGAAGGCGAACTGAGCGCCATATTTGAGACGCTGGACCAGTGTCACAGTAGCATCACTTTATTGATTTGACTCTGGTCACATTTTTGAACACTGACATAATAAAACACACCTTTGGAATGGATGTGATGGCATCCTGTTGGAGGGGGCAGGTAAGACGCTAAAAAAGGACAAATAGGACATGAGATGCTGCAGAGCTGTTTCAGTGTCTGATTTAGGGTTTTGATTTAAATGGTTTAGAACCGTTTGAGTTTAATGTAAGTCGCAAGGTCTTTTTGTAGAAGCTCCAATAGATCCTTTTGTTTTGTAAAGGATCTTGTTGTATAAAAGCTGTGAAATAAGTCTTTGACCTCTTGTAAATATAGAGAAATTATACATTAAAATCTTCATGTGAGGTGTTTCTTCTACAATAACCACAAATTAGAACTGCTGTTTTATTCACTGACATACAGATACAATAACAATCTTATTAAAACCTTTCTTTGCTTCTGAATAAAAATGCATCATGTTGACTTTAGAAATGTCAGTTATATAAAATTTCTGTCATATACAACAGAATTTGAAAAATGAAAAGAAAAATCTCTTTTACAGGAGTAATGTTTTCTGTACATTTTGTGCTACGGTATTCCTCATGATAAATCATATTTTTAATTTTATAATAATTCATCTTCATGATTCAGCTCCACCGTCCGCTCCTGTGTGAATGACAGCTGCCTTAACGGTGTCTCTGTCTCTACATTCAGGAGGAACAAGCAGCCAAACTGAAGGCTGAGAAGATTCGAGTTGCCCTGGAAAAAATCAAAGAAGCGCAGGTGAAAAAGGTAACATCACTTCTTTGATTCCTACATTGTTGCCGCTCCTTCTCACTTGTTTAAAAAGCCAGGCCGACTCTGCTAGCATAACTGCTGTCTCGTTGTATTCAACTGACATCAGTCACAGTGAAGAGAGTGAAATGCAGGGGAAAGTAGGTCATTGCAGCATTTCATTTCATGTGTCTGTGTGTGTGTGAGCGTATGCGTGTGTGTGTGTGTGTTTGTGTTCCTCTGAAGGGAAGGAAAGAGGGCCTTAAATGTGCTGTGTGTACGTATGTTTGTTTTAAGACAATGCACAATCATTCTGTGTAAGATACTACACTCATTTACTGGTCCTAACAAAGCGTGAAGGATCTGGGACGTCGTTCTCCAGAGACGTTTCATTGTGTTTCCTCACACAAGTTGACACTGGGCTGAACAGACCAGGCCATTTTAATCAGCAGTTTTCACCAGTGAATGAAATGTCTCTGTGAATGGAACTAATGAATTTAGCAGAATGGCTTCCTTTTTAAAGTCTGGATGAACAAAGAACGTCTTCAGGCCTTGCTGTGAATAAACCGTGGCAAAATGTAATTGTTAGTTCTGCAGCTGTCAGCGTTTTAGACTGAACCACACAATTTCTTCATTCTGAATAAATAGAGTTTAATTTACATTGGATAAAATTAACTTTATTTATATTTGTTAGTATATACGTCATCTTTATTTGAAGCATTTAAATTCCATTTGTCTTTATAATTAATTTAGCCCAAACTATATTTTAACAATAAAAGCAACAATAATGGTCATTCCTGGTAAAAAAAGAAGTTCAATTATATTTGTTGTTGTTTCCATCTTGACAGTAGTAGTTTAGTAATAAAGGCTCTTTTCTTTGTTTTTCCCTCAGACTAAGCTAGATTTGGCACGTGTGCATTTGTCACATTCAGCTTAAACTAAGCTTGCTGCTTTGAAGGACATTTTATGCTTAGGGATATGAAAACTTGGGCCCGATTACTGGATTATAGTGTTTAGTAGCTGCATGTGACTCCAGTGACCCACATTTGGTGTGGAGAAAGCCCCAAAGAACAATTGAAACATTTGGGTTCTGGAGACCAGCAATTGCAAAAGATAATAACTGAAAAGAAAAAGAAATGTGACTGTGATGTATGTGAGTTGACAAGCTGTGTTCAGACAGACACATTTGGACCAGTGGTCACTAACCTTTAGTGCAGAGCTATGGTGCTGTACGTCTTCACCGTAAATACTTACGTTGTTGAGAGTGTACTACACCACACAAAAATGTTTTAATCTGTTTTTAATATTTAATTATTATATAAATACTTAGTTGTATCTGTTTTATATCCAATAGCAATAAAAATAGCAATAAAATTCATATTCAGCTACAAAATAAACATAATATATTATTTGATTTTTAAATATATTTAAGTAAATAATTCTAATTATTATTTTATATTGAGCGCTTTAATGATTTAACTCTTGGAACTTTCTTTTAAATGCAGCTTTGTTTTTTAATTTCAATGCTGACTTAGATAAATTACAAAAACATTACAAAAGAACTTGTTGTTCTTTCTGTGCAACCCAGTCCCAAATGATTTATGGCCAAGTACTGGTCCCCGGCCCAATGTGGTTAAGTATTCTTACCACTTGGAAGTAGAAAACAAGGGACAGCATCTTTTTTCTATGTCTTATTACAATCCACAATCTGTTTTCAATTTTTAACCAGATAATTGTTTAATTTTTGCAATCATAACAAACCTGACTAAAAGTCTCCTCTCGTTCCCCTCGCCTTCAGCTGGTGATCAGGGTCCACATGTCAGATGAGAGCTCCAAGACCATGATGGTGGACGAGCGTCAGTCTGTCAGGCAGGTGCTGGACAGCCTGCTGGACAAGTCTCACTGTGGTTACAGCCCTGACTGGTCTCTGGTGGAAACCATCTCTGAGCTACAGATGGGTGAGAAAGCAGCTGCAGCTGTCTTCTTAACATGGTTTATAGTCTGCCTTAGTCAGCACTGTTAGCACATGGAGAGCACGGAGCACAGAGTCCATGTACACGGTGTAGGTAGTAAATGTCTAAAACTGTTATTAAAGGAGTTTGACAGGGGTTTTTTAAATGGGTTACTAAGAGGAGGTCGACATCGACTTAATCACCGGTGAACCAAACTAAAAGATCGTGAAGATCTCTCACAGATATTATGATGGGCTAAAAGAAGTGTCTCTAATACTCAGTTTAACATATGCTAAACTGAGTGTTTTTTATGACTACCTAGATAAGGAAGACACTCTCTAGAACCAGTCCATACAGATTTTGTTCAAAGACTCAACAGACTTTAGTGCAACATTAAAAAAACAATTTTCTTCAGTGTAATGTCAAGATAAAGTTGAAAACTTCAGAGTATAAGAAAAAAGCCTTTTTGTTGTGTGTCTCTGCAAAAAAAATCTTTTTTCAATTGTAACAAGAAAAATGTGTCAGCACTTCATGCTTTTGTGTCGGTGTTTCTTCCAACCACAGTTAAATAAAAAAAAAGAGCTGTGACTTTATAGTTACTGCTCCACCCAGGAGACAGAACACACCAGCAGAATTAACTCCACATCTGCACATCAGCAGGGGAAAAACTGCAAGCCTGGTATTGTCACGCTCATCTCTGCCAATCCTTCTTTTCATAGAGCGTATTTTTGAGGACCATGAGAACTTGGTGGAGAACCTGTTGAACTGGACCCGGGACAGTCACAACAAACTGATGTTCACCGAACGCATCGAGAAATACGCTCTTTTCAAAAACCCTCAGGTGAGACACTGGGTCCTACAGGCACTGGACAGGGAACTCCTGTCAACTGCAGACCACCAGCAGTCTAACAATGTCCACTCTTGCATCACAAGTGGCGTCTGTTTTTTGTAGATCAGTGTTTTGACATTTAGTTCATTCATTCAGTCTTAGTCTTAGATTAAAGTGTAACTAAGTCCCAAATTAGGCAAAAGCACTGGGGTTTTTTTTTGTCAAGAAAGTTTTTAAATGATTTTAATTAACTCATTTTTTATTTAGATTGGGTTAAGTATGCAATGTTTAATATTTAGATTTTACTAAATGTGGCTTTTATAGAATTCTAATAATAAACTGTGATTTATTAGACTTATTATTATTATTATTATTATTATTATCTTACAACTAGTTATACACTGTTATATTTTTCATTTTTTTAACATAGACATAGATGTATTTTTGTTGAAAAGAGGCTGCTACAAATTTTGCTTCATAACTTGCTTTTTATGAGAAACCTGGTTTGAACTGACTTCTGACGTCCAAGTAAAACATGCAGCTCCATTCAGGACCAGTCTATGACCTGGAACACTGTTATTGTTTACGGATGTTGTGCCATTTCAGATGTTAAGTGAGAAAGACATTTGACATTTACACCCCTCTGCACCTCCTCTCCTTCACTTACAGAACTATCTGCTGGGGCGGAAGGAGACATCAGAAATGGCTGACAGGAATAAAGAGGCTCTGTTAGAGGTGAAACCAGTGGAACGTGCAGTTGCAGGTGAAACAGGGCTGTTTCTTTTGGTACTGACTTGGTTCTATGCTTTTACCTCCTCTAGGAGTGTTTCTGTGGCGTCTCTGTGTCTGTGCCTGAGATTGAAGGTGTCCTGTGGTTGAAGGAGGATGGGAAGAAGTCGTGGAAGAAGCGGTACTTCCTCCTGAGGGCTTCTGGGATCTACTACGTGCCAAAGGGCAAGGCCAAGGTAAATGAATGTGACTAGAATAAAGACAGAATGTAGAAAATAAATGGCTGAGCTGTTATGAGAAGCAGACACACTCAGTCAACTCAGTGGTATTTCCTGTTTGCAGCTTCATGCCTGTTGTGTTGTTTTTTTTGCTGCTGATTTGCACAGCACATGTGCAGTGACTTCTTGGGCTGTAATCAGCCAAAGAAAATTTTGGTCGACTGAAGCCGGGAAATTTTGACTCCTCGACAGGAGTAGTTCAAAAGCCTCACTGTAGTCAAATGTGTTCAACTGTGTATCATTGTCTCTTCTGTCCCCCAGGCCTCCAGAGATCTCGTCTGCTTCCTGCAGTTAGACCATGTGAACGTGTATTATGGTCAGGACTATCGCAGCAAATACAAGGCTCCCACTGACTACTGCCTGGCCCTGAAGGTGAATTTTATTATTCGTCTGTGAAAACCTAATAAATTAATGTTGATTTGTGAAGCGTTTGGGGATGGTAAAATAAACATTTCATTTTACAGCATCCACAAATCCAGAAGAAGTCACAGTACATTAAATACCTTTGCTGCGATGATGTCAGGACTCTGCACCAATGGGTGAATGGAATTCGAATCGCCAAGGTATGTCTGACGCCATTGCCTGTTTTAATTGTTCTGGGTTTAAAACTTTTTATACTGGTGTTAAAAACGTATCTTGTGTTTGTGTAGTATGGAAAGCAGCTCTACGGAAACTACCAGGAGGCCATGAAGAGGACAGAGGCTGCCTATGATTGGTCGTCTCTGTCGACCTCCAGCATCAGATCAGGGTCCAGCTCAGTTAGTATTCCAGGTCAGTCCTTCAGATTTATCTTTAGTGATATTTCATTCACATGGGTCACACACACACGGAGCCCTAATCCTTGTCTTTGGTTTCCAGAGTCCCAGTCCAATCACTCAGGCCACTCAGACAGTGGTGTGGACACAGGATCTCATGGTCGGTCACAGAGTGTGGTGAGCTCCATTTTCTCAGAGGCCTGGAAGAGGGGAACCCAAATTGAAGAAAACACTAAGGTACTAAGGTCTCCATCCCTGTCTCTCCGTCTCAACCTAAAGACATAGGTTATTCACTAACTGAACTAACGTGCAATTGACACTTCTGACAGATGAGGATGGAGGCGTCCAGGTCAGGCACCCTGCCCCACGCTTCCCACAGTCATCGGCATCACAGCCAGCATTCACTGGACCACGCAGCCTTAACCCCTCCACCATCACAGAATCCACCATCACAGAATCCACCACAGACACCAGTGCAGATGCAGGCGTTGACCCAGCAACAGCAGCAACATCAACTACAACAACAAGTGCAACAGCAGCAACAATTGCAGCAGCAGCAACAAGTGCAAGAGCAGCAACGGATGCAAGAGCAGCAACGGCTCCAAGAACAGCAACGGCTGCAAGAGCAGCAACGGCTGCAGCAACAGCAGCAACAACTACAACAACAAGTGCAACAGCAGCAACAACTGCAAGAGCAGCAACGGCTGCAGCAGCAACATCAACTACAACAAGTGCAACAGCAGCAACAACTGCAGGAGCAGCAGCAACTGCAACAACTGCAGGAGCAGCAACGGCTGCTGCTGCAGCAACGGCAGCAGCAACTGCAACAAGAAGTGCAACAGAAGCAACAACTGCAAGAGCAGCAACGGCTGCCGCTGCAGCAACGGCAGCAGCAACTGCAACAACTGCAGGAGCAGCAGCAACTGCAACAAGAAGTGCAACAGAAGCAACAGCTGCAAGAGCAGCAACGGCTGCCGCTGCAGCAACGGCAGCAGCAACTGCAACAAGAAGTGCAACAGAAGCAACAACGGCAAGAGCAGCAACGGCTGCCGCTGCAGCAACGGCAGCAGCAACTGCAACAAGAAGTGCAACAAAAGCAACAACTGCAAGAGCAGCAACGGCTGCCGCTGCAGCAACGGCAGCAGCAACTGCAACAAAAAGTGCAACAGAAGCAACAGCTGCAAGAGCAGCAACGGCTGCAGCAGCAACATCAACTACAACAAATGCAACAGCAGCAACAACTGCAGGAGCAGCAACGGCTCCTGCTGCAGCAACGGCAGCAGCAACTGCAACAAAAAGTGCAACAGAAGCAACAACGGCAAGAGCAGCAACGGCTGCCGCTGCAGCAACGGCAGCAGCAACTGCAACAACTGCAGGAGCAGCAACGGCTGCTGCTGCAGCAACGGCAGCAGCAACTGCAACAACTGCAGGAGCAGCAGCAACTGCAACAAAAAGTGCAACAGAAGCAACAACGGCAAGAGCAGCAACGGCTGCCGCTGCAGCAACGGCAGCAGCAACTGCAACAACTGCAGGAGCAGCAGCAACTGCAACAAGAAGTGCAACAAAAGCAACAACTGCAAGAGCAGCAACGGCTGCAGCAGCCACATCAACTACAACAAGTGCAACAGCAGCAACAACTGCGGGAGCAGGAGCAACTGCAACAACTGCAGGAGCAGCAGCAACTGCAACAACTGCAGGAGCAGCAGCAACTGCAACAAAAAGTGCAACAGAAGCAACAACGGCAAGAGCAGCAACGGCTGCAGCAGCCACATCAACTACAACAAGTGCAACAGCAGCAACAACTGCAAGAGCAGCAACGGCTGCCGCTGCAGCAACGGCAGCAGCAACTGCAACAACTGCAGGAGCAGCAACGGCTCCTGCTGCAGCAACGGCAGCAGCAACTGCAACAACTGCAGGAGCAGCAACGGCTCCTGCTGCAGCAACGGCAGCAGCAACTGCAACAACTGCAGGAGCAGCAACGGCTGCTGCTGCAGCAACGGCAGCAGCAACTGCAACAAAAAGTGCAACAGAAGCAACAGCTGCAAGAGCAGCAACGGCTGCCGCTGCAGCAACGGCAGCAGCAACTGCAACAAAAAGTGCAACAGAAGCAACAGCTGCAAGAGCAGCAACGGCTGCAGCAGCCACATCAACTACAACAAGTGCAACAGCAGCAACAACTGCGGGAGCAGCAGCAACTGCAACAAAAAGTGCAACAGAAGCAACAGCTGCAAGAGCAGCAACGGCTGCCGCTGCAGCAACGGCAGCAGCAACTGCAACAACTGCAGGAGCAGCAGCAACTGCAACAAAAAGTGCAACAGAAGCAACAGCTGCAAGAGCAGCAACGGCTGCCGCTGCAGCAACGGCAGCAGCAACTGCAACAAGAAGTGCAACAGAAGCAACAGCTGCAAGAGCAGCAACGGCTGCAGCAGCAACATCAACTACAACAAGTGCAACAGCAGCAACAACTGCAAGAGCAGCAACGGCTGCCGCTGCAGCAACGGCAGCAGCAACTGCAACAAGAAGTGCAACAGAAGCAACAGCTGCAAGAGCAGCAACGGCTGCAGCAGCAACTACAACAACAACTACTGCAACAGCAGCAGAATGTACTGCACAAGCAGCAGCAACAACTACAGCAACAACTACAGCAGCAGCAGCAGCAGCAACAAAAAAAGCAACCGCCAGCGCAACAAACACAGCAGCAGTACCTGCAGTACCTGCCTCCACCACCTGGGTCTCCTCAAAAAGCCCCACAGCAACCAACACAGTCTCCACAGCGCCATCAACAGCCACCACAGGAGCATCCTCTCCCACCTGCCCCACCCCCACAGACAGTCGTCACTTATAACCACATGCCTCCACAGCAGCAACAGCAGCATCAGCCTCCTCCACCTCCTCCTCCGCCACCTCCACCACCTCCCCCTCCTCCTGTTCAGATGGTGTCGCACCATTCGCCCGCTCTCAACATGTACAAGTTCAGCACCATCACCAGGCTGCGGAATCAAAATGCAGCCAGTCAAAACAAGCTTCCCAGTCTGGGCCCAACCCGCACACCGACGCCACCTGCGGCTCAGGTGACTGTCAAACCAAATGTAAATCATATCGCAGCAAGGACTAATGTCCCACCTCCTCCTCCACCACCTCCTCCCCCTCCGCCCTGCATGCCCGCACCAGGTTCAGCCATGGCTGTGCTGAAGCTGGGACCGAGTCCAGCCACCACGCCATCCTGCTTTCCTCCACCCCCAGCACCTCTGTCTGCTCCACATATGAACGGAACAGCCTTTCCTCCTCCTCCACCCCCACCCCCAGCTCCACCTGCACCAGCTCCCATGAGTCAGCGGGTTTACTCCACCGGACTGAAGCAGGCTCTGAAGGAACGCTTTCCCAGCCCACCACGGGACCTGCTGTGTCCTAATGGAGATCTTGATGAGTCGCCACCTCCGGCCCCTGCTCCACCACCACCTCCCCCTCCTCCACCTCCACCACCTCCACCGCCACCTCCTCCTCCCCAACAGTTGCCAGAACCAGCCCAGTTTCCGCCTCCTCCTGGACCTCCGCTGGCCCCTCCTAAAACCTTCACCCAAGGCTTTGTCCACAAACCTGTGTCGCCCGTCTCACCTTTTCCTCCCGCTCCGCCGCCAGCTGCTTTAGGAGGCCCAACTCCACCACCACCACCACCTCCTCCTCCTCCTGCACCTCTCAAGAAGCAGTTCAGCCTCCAGGCAGGGCACAGCACCTCCATCGTCCACCCTCCTCCAACTCTGCCCAAGCAGCACAGCCTGTCCAAACCACCTGTCTCAACAGGAGGACCTCCTGCCATGTCGTTAGTGAAACAACTAGCCAGTCAGTTTCCAGGAGCTTCCTTGCCAGTCGTGAATCCAGCCGAGCTCCCCAAACCTCCCCTCTCTCCTCCTGCAGTCAAGACCAAACCAAAATGGCAGCCTGGTGGCAGCCAGCAGCTCCAGTCTACTGACTTTCCTCCACCTCCTTCAGAAAACAACGCTGGCTTCCCTGCACCACCTCCTCCACCGCCACCTCCCCCAGCTCCTGTTGGTGGTCCCACTCCACCCCCACCTCCTCTTCCACCCGGGAATCTTGGATCCCCCATCAGGAGGTCACCATCAGGTTCGTCCAATTCAGGACTAAAGAAACCTCCTCCTACTCCACAGAGAAACTCCAGCATCAAGTCCAACGGTTCCTCCTCCTATGAAGAGTCCAGGAGGAACTTGCTCAGCAAGTTTGCTCCACAGAGCAGCACTTCTTCCTCATCCACATGCCCTGCTTCCTCCTCCTCTGGATCTCCTTCCAAGGAGCTCTCTGCTGGACCCCCTGCTCCTCCTAAACCAGGCAAGCTCAACCTGTCCAACTTGCCTTTGGCTCTTCAGGCCAAAGTGAGCCAGACAAAGCAGTCTGGTGGTGATTTCCCTTCCCCACCTCCTGACTGTGGCTACTTTCCACCTCCTCCTCCACCCAATGATTTGTTTCCCCCTCCACCACCTCCCACTAATGAAGTGCACAGCACAGGGCCTCCGAAGGTTGCAGTGGTTAACCCCCAGCCTCAGGCTCCGCCTCCTCCACCACCTGTACCCCTTGTCAGCAACTCAACATGGAGTAAGGGCTCACTGAAAAAGACTCCTCCCCCAACACTCGCACGGCGTAGTAACACCACCCCTGAACCTCCTCCACTCTCCCCACCTCCACCCACCTCCCCAAAGGGCAGCTCGGGGCAGCCCAACTTCCTAGCAGACCTGAACCGAACACTGAAGCGAAAATCAGTGGGTCGTCAGAGTTCTCTGAACTCCGCCAGCCTCTTGGGAAAGTCTGACCCTGCAGGGACCATGGATGACATGGCACTGCCTCCACCTCCACCTGAGCTGCTCCTGGACAACGTGAGGCAAAGCAACGGAGGGAATGGGGGCTACATGTCCGGGAACATCTCAGGCTATGCAACACTGCGGCGAGGACCTCCACCTGCTCCCCCTAAACGTGGAGACGCCACCAAGCTCACCGGGTAGTGTTGAACGCCTTCATGCCTGAAGTGACATGGGACAGTTGTTCAAATAAGTGGGAAGTAAAATCCCAGGTCACGTCTGTCCCCCCGGGGTCACCGTGACAAAAGACTTTGTACATAATCAAATCTTAACCCGGCCGTTAACACTTAGCATTTGCTAATTTTTGCTTTTTTTTTAAAACATGCTTTGCATTTTCTGCATCTGCAGGATTTACAATATGGGTCCATTAATGAGCAGAGCAGGTCAGTTTGAAATCACAGAAAACTAGAATTTCTATGATTGCCTAAACTCTCTGGAAAAAAAACACCTCTATTGTAAATCCTGGTACATGGAGCAGGTTGGAATCAGAGTTTTTTTCAAATGTTACTGGATCCAAGTCTGAGCCAAACAATGTATTTGCTTCTTTGCCACAAGTCTGTGCCACGTACCGGAGACGACAACGTTAGACATAAACCCCACAGGTTCTCTGTGCTTTGGTTCTGCATGGACCTCAAGTAACCAGTTAGCTGTAAAACATGAAGCTGTTGCAGTGAGTATGCATGTGTGTGTGAGGGAGAGAGACGTGCAATGAGCATGCATATGTGTGTATATGATCATATGGAGGCAAAACAGTTATTGGTTGAACTATGATGGCAGTCTTTCCACACAGCAGTGCAGTGTTGGTTCACTGAACTCTACTTTGTTTAAAAGAAAATAAATTGAATAGTCGAGGAACTCTGATGCTGACGTCCAGCACAGAATAGGTGCTCGATGGAAGACGGCTAATTGGTCAGAAGATTATTTATCTCTCACAGAAACTGGTTTCCCTTTAAAGTCCACATTTGTTCGAGCTGCAGAACACTGCACTGCTGAGTGGAAGCACAGCTGCAGACGAGGCAATTGTGAAGGCGTTTGCTTTTATATAGAATTATTTAACGATTAATGAATGGAAGGATTTTTTTACGTGTCTGTTTTTTGATAGATGGTCCACGAGGTTTGCCGTGAAACAGAAAACTAGTAATAAAAGAATGTATACCAAGAAACACAACACTAAGGAGCAAACTTTGACCCTGTTTAGACCCGGTAATAATGTCAGACCTGAGTGATGTGAGACCAGCTAGAGGTTTACTGTGACCTCACTATGAAAATTATATGTCGCCGTCTTCTCCAATTATTAATTTCTCCATAAGTTTGACTTTGAAAAAAAAAAAAAGACTGTATGTAAGAAATGGGTGGAGCTGGAGGTGCTACAGTCCAGGTTCTCATTGAACAGGAGTTGTGTTTTATGAATTAAGAGAAAAATAGAGGATGGGAGAAAAATGGGAGGGCGGTTATGATTGGTCACTGTGTTTGATTGACAGCATGATGGTCCAGAAGAAGCATGGTGATTGTAAACTTTACTGGTGTTAGGTCCTTGGTAACAGTGGTAAACATCTGTGTTGGGTTGACTGGTTGGTTAACTGTAGTATATTTGAATGGTTTATTCATTAGTGAACTCCTGCAGACCCTGCCTTAATGAGTAAAGTCATGTTATTATCGGTCTTGTTACCACCTGTCCTCAAATCTCCAAATGCATTCCAAGGAGCTTATAGGACACATTCAGTCATTCAGACCTGCACCGGGAGCTGTCCACGTGTGTCCAAATCTCAGACAGAATCTAGTATCAGGTCTGAACAGGGACTTCAACACCTGAACTGTTACACCGCACAAGACTAGTACAGATCAGAAGGAAACCATAATCCCCCATTAACACAGTGAGGTGAAAGAAGACTCTTCACCGTCTGGAGACAAACTGGACTGTTGTATATGGTGATGAAGGTGGTGCTATGTGTTTGACATCTGTACTTCATTTTCACCATTATATCCCATCAGTGTGTGTGACTGCACAGTCACAGTTGCTGCTCAACTACTGTCATCACTGACATCAAAACCCAGGAAGTGCAGATCAGACTGGTATATGTAGTTAATGTACAGAACGTTCATCATCATCATTACTGTTTCTGACTGTAATTTACAGGGATTTTATGTTTAATTATTATTATTATTATTATTATTCTAAAAACTGGGTCATGAAGTTCGGCTTTACTCTATCACGGCTGTGTCTTTATTTTAAGGGTGCTACTTATCTTATAGTCAACATGTCGTCATGTGACGTGGGTCACGTTTCACCCGTATCGGCTGTAGTGTGGATGCGTGTGTCTGTGTTTGTGTGTGAGCGAGTGTATGTGTGTGTGTGTGTTGAGGGGGGACGGGTGGGGTCAACGGTCAAGGTGTCTTCGTCCTGCTCAGCCACAGATGTTTGAGTCCATATCATGGTCCGTGGCTGCAGTACAGTATGTAAGTTATTAATGTGCTGATGTGAACACGTGGAAGCCAAATGAAATGAAATGAAGAAAAGTGGTTGCAGATCAAGTCAAAGTGTCCTCTTGCATATAAACTGAAAGTCACAATATAAATGTTAAATCAGAAAACCTGCCTCCAGTCTTTTTTAGTCTTTTAGTCTTTTTTATTTTACCACGTCACGTGGATCAGGTGTGACTCGATACTCGACGCTTCACGAAAACTGCTAAAGGGGAAGGTACATTTCGTGCGCCCTCTAGTGGATAAATTGTGGAGAAAGTGTTTGGGGCAGAAAAAAACATTTGGAGCGACTTGTGTTTAAAATACATGAGTGAATATGAACTGGAAACTCAACACATTATATTTGAAGTTCGGTTTCTAAGCAGTAACTTCACTGATGTTCACTCCAGGAAATTGCTGAAAGCAGCTCTGGGCTGAATGTGAAGGAGGAAGAGGGGAAGCACGGGCTCCTAAAAGATGATCATTATTTTGGAGTCAGTGTTAATGAGGACCATCATGGTACATCCAGGATATTATGTTAATGACAGCCCATCGGCAGCTAAACCCACCTCTGTGTATAAATGTTAGTGTGGACTGGTGTCTCCGTCTGTACACCTGCACAGCCAATGACATTGTTATACAGTGTCAACAAGTTGTATTAATGTTATAAGATAAAATGCAAATCTCAAGCCCACTTGCATCCTTACCTCCTCACTGCACTCCTGACTGAACTCCTCACTGGAGCTGCTGTCACTGCCACACTTTAAAGAAAGAACCTGGGTCGAGGAGTCGGATTTTCAGCCGGCAGGAGCTGGAGAAGGAGGGCTGAATCAGGAGAAGAGGAAGTTCCAGATGTTAATCACTTTCTCCTAAAGAACAGGAACCACTTCAAAATACATTCATTTGTTTTTCTCACCACAATGAATCCAAGTCTGAATGCACACGTCTGAGGGCTCTGATGCCAAACACCATCTGCAGATTAATGCTGCTCGGGCCCACGGGGCTAATCTGTGGTATATTTTTCATAATCTCACAGATTTAAAAAAGTTAAACAGAGCTTATGCTTTTTAAATTTCCAAATCATTTCATATTTTTAGGACGGCATTGTCTGCTTTGCTAACAAAATTGATTGACTTTAACCTCGACCTCCAGCCAAGGGTCTTTTATGACTTTTGGTCTGTTGCATCGATTGCATTTTCATGACACAAAATAAACGATAGAAGTTCAACAGTCTGTACACAAATCAAAAAGCAGTTAAAATTTAGAAACAAAACTGTGAAAGGAGCAAAACTAAAAAACAGACTAACAGTAGAGAGTGAAGCACTGAAGGAAATTCATAGGACAGTTGGACAAAATGAAACTTAATTTGTCTGATGGTCACGTTTAGTTTTGATGGTAAAAAAACTTGAAAATCTGAAAACTTTAGTGATTATAGTCTCATTTAAAGGTCAAGGGTCAACTCCTGATCTCACTCAAAACATGGGGATTTTTTAAATCATTTGTTGTGGTGTCAGATCACTGAAGCCTCATGGATAAAAACTCCCATTCGCTCCAAATGTCCCTTAATTTCTCAGCCATGCTTTAAATAATAATAAAAAATCTTGTATTGCCATCACATCTTTATTATTTTCATGATTGATATCAAAAATACTACACACTCTGGAAATGTGGACTTCAGAACACCGTCATCAACTTGTTCCCTATATTTATTATCATAATATCATCACGTCTACAAAAGTGGAACTACGGACAAACTAATGTCTGTAAACAAACACAATCAGACATGTGACTGTACACCTACAGTTTGAACCATTGACAAACATGTAACAAAAACTGTCAGTCTTAGACGTCAGTCTTGGATCAGGGTTTTGTAAAAGTAAGGACACGATATTTCCTGTTTTACCCACTGAACTCCCCAAACAAACATCATTCAAATCTCCTTACATTCATGAAACCTGACTCATGTCCTGACCTGATGGTTGGACATGTTTTTTGAATTTGGTTTAATTATTATTATAGGTTTGTAAATTCCGTGGTTTTTCAGAGGAAATCTGTGAAAGGAATTTTACATCACAGCAAACAGGAATTATATCTTCACTGTTGCAAACGTTCACATGTGCTAATTATAATAATTCAAAGTGACCTTTGTGACCCAAACTTTTTTTTTAAGAAGACAGCAGTTGACCAACAGCTTTTGGGTTCTAGTGTGGCTAAATTTTCTTAAATTAAATTAATTTTCTTAAATTATCATTTTCTTTATTGGATTTGGTGGAGTACTGGGGAAAAAAATAAACCAGTTTCCACTGAGAAACACTGGTCTAATGTTGACACAAAGTGCTGAGTATTTTCATAAGATCTAAAACTTAGGTGGACGTATATTAATGTGGACATGTTATTTCTTGCCTTCCTTTCAGTGGCTAACATCCTTGCATCCATGCTGTGTGAGCTCTTCCTGCCTTTTAATCTTAAAACCACTCTGTTTTGGAGAGTAAACCAGTGACAGCTTGGAAGAATGTCAGTACTGCATTGACACATCAACAACATGAGCCTGTGAGTAAACGCTGTCTCCTCTTCACTCACGTGTGACCACAGCCCAGGAAACGTCACATCAACTGTACATGCACAAACACAGACAAAGAAAAACAGTCCTCTCCTCATCGCTCCAACGTTCCCATCAGTGGCTCTATAGCAGCGAGGAAACAAGCTTCAAACTCCTGATCGGAGAATCGTTCCACAGAGCGACGGGCGTTCAGTCTGATCTGCAGACGGCTGGAGGACGGAAGAGCCAGGATTTTCTCTATGGCCTCTGCATAGCTTTCCTCGTCATCGGCCAGGAACCCAGTCTGACCGCCCTCAAAAGGTACCACGATGTCCAGCTTTGGGCCTCCAGACTTGTGGGCCAGAACCACCTTCCCTGCTGCCATACACTCCACGACGCCTGCAGAGAGGTAGACATGGAATGACATGAAAATCTCTCAACCTACAGCACCACCTGGAGCTCAGAGGAGCTTCAATGTTCAACGCTCGACTCCATCATGATGGTCTGAATTAAACTCGAATGTTCAAAACCATTTGTCACATTGATAACCTACCTATTCCAAAGTGTTCATTCCACATAGTGTGTAGACCGATGGTAGCTTCACCCATCTCCCTCTTCAGCTCCTCAAAGGACACGTTCACTTTAAACTCCACCTTGTCTCCTACCCCCAGCTCATGGCACAGTCCCCTCAACATAAGAACCCTGTCCTCATCTTCCTGGTTCCTACAGCCACCAACCAAAACCAACGTCAGGGCCCCGCCGCCCCCTAGGCCCGCTCTCCTCTTGTCCAGCACCTTCTTGAATGCTCTGATCTGCAGCTGATGGTCCTTCTCTGGCCTGAACTGCCCGATGGAAACGATGGAGTGGCTCTTTCGGTCGCCGTCGTCTTCTAGCTGGATGTCCAAGAAGGCGCTGACATCACAGGGAGGGTACACCACGCTGGTGCGGTTAGGAGCACGCCACAAAGACAGGATGTGGTCGAGAGTCCAGGAGGAGTTGACCATGATGAGGTCGCTGCAGGAGCCGGCCATGCCGTAGAGCAGGGCGAACACGCAGTAGTAGAGAACTTTGAAGGCGCTGAGGAGCAGACTGTTGGTGACGTAGTCCGCGTTGTTGAACCTGTGACATGAAGATGTTGTTAGTGTTGAAAGAGTGCAGGTTGACAAAGGGCAAAGATTGTAATCTGACAGGGGTTTTTTTCTTTTGTACTATACAGTACGGCATATGTACAGTACACAACTTGCTTGTTAATTGCTCAAATATATACACAGATTACCTTGGGTTCCTCTCTCTCACTACAGACAGCATGTCTGTGCTGATAGTGGGGTAGTGAACGTAGCTCCCCACACTACAGCCACCAAGGTAACGGAACAGGGGAAGAGTAAAAGCGTAGCCCATTGAATCGATGTAAATGTCTGGGACAAACTCCGTGAGTGCCTCCCATCCTAGAAAGATGGAGCCCATGCTCTGTCCCAGCAGGGTAAAGTGAGGAAACAGGTGAGGCTCCACAAGTAGCCGGTGTCTTAGGAAGACGAAGTGAACCGGTCGAGGCAGGACAATATTAAAGCGAAGCCGCGCTCCGTCGAGAATCTGCTGGCCCGTCACACCAACGTCCCCTGTGTACACCAAAATGTTGATGTCCGTGTACCTGTTCTGAATGGCCCTGATGGCACACCACAGTACCCTCTCTCCGCCACCGCCAGCATTACAGTAAGGGTGGAAGAAAGCTACTGTGGGACGTCCGTCTCTGGTGCGGCGGGCATTTCTATTGTTCTGCATCCAGAGACGCACCGCGAGCACCAGCAGGACCAGGATTGAGAGCAGCACCACACAAAGGAAGAGCAGTGGCAGCAGCAGCCTCCATAACAACCTGGGACACCGGGAAAAAAACACTGGCATTATGGGTAGCAGGAAACAAGCAAATGAGTGTTTACACATTTACACATCACGATGACAGAAATTACATTTTTGATGTGCCTTGTCCTTACTAGTCTTCAAACGTTCATGTAATATTTTGTCTTTTAGGGAGAACGAATCAAATTATCAGATTTATATAATAATTGTAGAAGTCAAGTGAAGGATCCGAACTTTTAAACGGCTTTCATAGCGCCATCTTCAGGAAAGATAAGACAGGAAGCACATGCTCCAAACTTCAGAGCCTCGAGTTTGGTGTACAGTAAATCCATAAAATCGTATGCGAATTATACGATTTCAATGACGATCATAATGACTGAGACTGGGGTTCATAAGTTGACGTTTCAACTTAATTTACTCAATACATTGCTACAAAAGATAAAAGGAATGCATTTAAAAATAATAACCTAAAATATGCACAGGTGTAGCCGTCGCACAGATCCCGAGGACGTAATGAGTGCAGAATGTTGTATATTTAAATAATATAATTCGCTTCTTGGACTGTTTGTTCAACGAATCACACAAAGGACAAAAACACTGTTTATATATGACGACAGCATAGTTCAAGGCAATATGAAATATGAAAATGTAGATGCTAGCATCTAACCGGAAGTGACAATCCTAAGGGGCTATGTGCGCTTTTCAAATCCAAAACCAGGAGCTTCAGTCGTCAGATATTTAATTTTGTCTACGTACAAACCCTGTTACCTTGTCAATTCACATAGACAGTGAACCAGCTGATCGTGTCCAGACATTTTGACAGCAGAGACTTAACAACGCATCATCGTCACCTTTCACTTCTAAGTCTGTTCCTTTTTGTTGACATGAAAAAATATCGGGCGCTACCCCTGGTAGGGAGGTCCAACTACACCGCCTCGTTTGCCTGGCTTAAGTGGTATTCAGGAACTTTGCATGCATATTGCAGGATTAGAGTAAACTTACTCAATATATTATTTTACCAGCATAATTTTTATATGGTATATACTTTCATACTGTGTTAAAATTTTGCTGATAGAAAATAGCTGAGTAAAAATTCAGTTTTGTGATTTTAAAATGCATGCTTGAGATGAGGTTCATTTTAAAGATGCACCATTGTTATATACAGTATGTACAGCTCCCCTGTCCTGCTGTCTTTCATCCATGCTGTCTGATCTTTGCTCTTATTTATCCCAGAAAGTAAAGGTTAACTTCTAAATAAACACTGTGCTTGTTTGTGTGGATCAATAATGTCTCTTTACCCCTGCAGCTCCAACAAAACACAGTATTTCCAGTGCGCTCTGACATCATGAAGGCTTTGTTGATTGTATTTGTTTTGACGAGTTTAAATACAGGATACCTTAGCGAAACACAGTAAGTATATTTTCTTTTTCAAACATCTAGTTTGAATGGAGAGCTGTGTAACAGCAGCAGGGGTTCTTTTTACCTTGCTAAGTACAATGTGATATGAAAAAGGGAGTTTGACAACATACTCCAACTTCTCTTGAATGCCTATTGATTGCCACATTGCACAAGTCATACAGAGAAAGAAGAAGAAGAACCCAAACGATATCACATCACAATAAGGGATTACTTCAGCTGACTGCAATACTTTTTCTTTCTTGTATGATATGAATATAAGAGTATGACATTATTGTCTATTGGACCAAACAATTGAACCATAATCATCTTGTTTCTCCACTAGCCAATGACCCGGTGTTGGGCCAACATGGTCATGTTTGATGGGATTGTCCATGTGTGTGCACTTCTTCTTTTTAAAGTGAGACAAACAGTTACGTTTAGGTTTAACTTTATGAATAAAAATGTACGTGTTTTTTGAAAATAAATAAATAAACGGTCGTCAGGTTTTAGTTTCAAAATGTCACTAAGTTCTATCTCACTATGAACTATTTATCTTCATCCAGCGATACAGTCCTGTCAATCACCCCTCAGACCCAGGAACAGGTCCATGTGGTAAAGAATGTTTCCTCTCAGTTTGAGGTAAAATAAAACATATTTTCATCAGTGTTGGTATTTTTCCAAGTGTGTTTTTTAAAGAATATGTTTTTTATTTGCTTTCCTTGAAGACAACATTATGGCAACCTGTCTCAGCCGAGTACATCAAAGCTGAGGCAGATGTTCACCTGTTTGTTCCTGCCAATAGCTCACAAGCCGTCACCGACCTGCTGCAGAGTCATGCCATAAGTTATGAGTATGTGTTTTTTCTGATAACAACATTTAAATGTAGCACAAAAGCCCTGATGACTTTAACTGAGTCACTGTGATCTTGTTCTGTGGTGTTTTTTAGAATTTTGCTTGACAATGCAGAAGAGTTGATTGAAATGCAGACCAAAAATGACTCCACCGACCCCCGAAGCAGCCAGACGTTCTATGAGAGATACCACAGTCTGGAGGATGTAGGGTTGTTGTTTTTTTAACTTTGTGTATAAATAAGTTTCTTATGGTGACTGGTGTGGTGCATTGAAATAAACATGTCTCTACTATAGATCTATTTTTGGATAAACAGGACCATACAAGACAACCCCGCCACAGTAAGCGTTGTTCTCATCGGTTCCTCTTTTGAAAAGCGACCCCTGTACGCTCTTAAGGTAAAGGTTCTTGTAAACTGCAGATTTTAGCAAAAATGTTTTCAATCTGTATGAAACCAGAACACGGTCACATGACATTTGGTTTACAATGATTGAGAAGCAGATGTTAGTTAAACATGTGGGACATATTTCAGTTTTAAATTGTCTCAGTAAATGTTATCTG